CTCTCTCTCTCTCTCTCGTGTGTGTGTGTGTGTGTGTGTGTGTGTGTGTGTGTGTGTGTGTGTGTAAAACAGGAAGGACTTGCCCACCCTACACAAGTTCTCAAAAGTCTTGTATCAGTAAGCTACAACCAGCCTCCTCTGACCCCTCTCCCCCACTACAGTGTTAAAATTTTTTTCCCTGTGGTACTTTCAATTCACGATTGGAGATGAGGAATCTGCACAGTTAATAACGGGAAAAAAAGCAATCTTTCTTTAGTTGTTGTTGGGTTTAAATGTCTTTCTTAGCTGAAGAATTAAGGTTTTGGAATGCTTTCACTTTCTGTGCCTTGGTTTTACCATCTGGTTATTGGAGAAAATGACAGTTGTTGCGTCATCAAACTTGGAGAACTAAAAGAATTCCTTTAAAGCTTGCTATGCATACTCTATTACTATTCAAGAAAGTAGATTGCATCATAAGTAACTTTTTTCATCACCCCAAAACGTATGCTAACATTTTGTGTACTGTCTTATTTTCATTATAAGTGCTTTATGGAAGGGTGATATGTGATGTGTAAAAGTATTGGAAAGCTTAAAAAGAAAAAGAGATAAGACTTAAATTAGAACTTGAGGGAAAGTACAAATACACTTCAGGGAAATGGACTGGATATTATTATTTAGTGACAATATGGATGGAAGTTAAGCTGTCAGGAGTCCCAGTATGAGTTCCTGGTTCATTGCAGTAAGAATAGGAAGTAAAGGGACTAGCCAGCCGGAACATGGTAAACATGGCTCTAGTAAGCCTTGCCCTTCTCCCCTACTCCCTCTGCTGTAACACGAATCCTAAGAGATCTAATTAAATAAAAAAAAACACGAGCTAGATATCCGGGTTAAAACCTGAGAGAGATCAAAGGAATAGGGAAAGCCACAAGCCAGCCTCACCTTACTAACCCTCAGCTTCTAAAGAGACTTCCTTCCTGTATACCCACGCCTGTATGCCTTTCTGTTCTGCCAGCTCATTTGCTCTCTCTGTCCAGCTACATCACTTCCTCTTCCTTCCCAGCTCTTTCACTTCTTGTCCATCTGTACAGACCTCCATGGTTAACTAGTGTTGGAATTTAAGGTGTGTGCCACCATGCCTAGCTCTGTTCACAGTATGGCCTTGAACTCACAGAGATCCAGATGACTCCCTGTCTCCCAAATACCAGGATTAAAGGTGTGTGCTACCATTGTCTGACCTCTGTGTTTACTATAGTGGCTGGCTTTTTCCTCTGAACCTCAGATAAATTTTATTGGGAGACACAAATAAATATCACCACACTTTGCCTTGCTAAAAACCATTGGATTACATTCCTAAAGCCAGCCCCCAAGGTCCATTCCCATATTTGGCCAATTCTTCCTCCTGAGGTTGACTACCAATGTCCAACTATTAAAGTACTGAAGACCAGCAATCAAAAGCCCCCTTTGGCTCACCTAATTAACATGCCCAATTGAAATTAAGCACCCCATCCTAACACAGGGTTTATCCTATTGCCTTTGTAAACTGCCATTTTCCTATGGGCCACATCTGTCTCCTCTCTATCCTTTGTGCCCCCACTCCCCCTCCAACCCTGGGACAAATACCCCTACCCTCTCCATTGCCCTTTTCTCCCCACATCCCGTGTTCCTTTCCCTTCTTCCTTGTCCTCTATCTCCTGTCTTTGTCCCTTATCCCTGCCCTCTGTCCCTCTGGGGCAAACAAATCTCCTTTGTACTGGGAACTTGGTCTTGGGGTGTCTTGAGCTGATTTCAAGGTTCCCTACAGAATAGATAGAAAAAAAATGTGATCAGAAAACAGAGAGAAAGGAAAGTCTGTATCTGTATCTGACAATTTATGGGTAGCATGGTAATAGTTGATGAGGCAGAAGGATAGAAATAAAAGATAGGGGGCTGGAGAAATGGCTCAGAGGTTAAGAGCACTGACTGCTCTTCCAGAGGTCCTGAGTTCAATTCCCAGCACCCACATGGTGGCTCATAACTATCTGTAATGAGATATGGTGCCCTCTTCTGGCCTGCTGTCATATATGCTGTATACATAATAAATAAAAAAAATCTTTAAAAAAAAAAAAAAAGAAATAAAAGATAGGGCTGTTAAAGTAGACAAGCCTAACCTGTTAAACCATACAAATGTGTTACTCAATCAACAATATATAGACAATATTATTATTATTATTATCATTATTATTATTAGAAGTCACAGAACAACATTCAGAACTTAGTTATCTCTTTCTACCCAGGGACCACAAGAATCAAACTCTGTGTAAACACTTTGACCTGCTGAGCCATCTCCTCAGCCTCTACCCTGTGTTTTCAGCTGGTTTCTTTTCTGGCTTTTGCCGTCATGAAACATGTTGTTACTGTCAGAGCTGTTCTTTGATTGCAGTCAAGCTCTATTGGACAGCACTGCTATTGCTATTGTTGCCTATGAAAAGTCCTCAGTGATGTGGGAAAGTGACACACGTGACCTAGACAGAGGGTGCTTTATGACCCAGGGTGCTTAGACCTACACACTTCTGGCAGGTTCCTCAGATTCCAGGTTAGGACATTCACACAGCAGGAGAGGCAGACTCAACACTGGTCTCTTTCTGGTACATTTTGTCAGTTTCTTCCCTGTTACACATAAATGTTGCTCAGTTTCTCTGATGAGAGTTGGCAAATTACCATCTGATTTTTTTTTTTTTTTTTGGAAGCACATTTTGCTGCCACAAAGTCACAGCCATTAATATTTATGCTGTGTGTATCTGCTTTAGGGCGTCAGTAGCACAACTGAGTGATTCAAGGAGTTACGGTAAACCTAAAATATTTGCTAACTGGCATTGGGCAGAAAGTTTGAAGATCTTGCTTCTGACCAACAAATAAAAATTCTCAAGCTTTTATGGCTGTATTTCCAAACCCATTGCTCTGGTCTACCTCACTGCCATAATGCTCACTTCTAGCTGTGTTATTTCCTCCCTCTTCCCTTTCCTGTTACTGTCATTTCAATCAAGAACATGCAGATATTTTTCCAACTCAATTAATCATGTAATGACATTTTTCTCATGCATGAATATGATAGAAAATAATGATCTTTATTTTAGCATATGCTCCAGTAAACTAAATTAAAATCACAAATTGTATTGTAACAATGCAACGAATTGAAACAATTACTAGACTTTTAAAACACAAATAATTCAAATTAAAGACAGCTATTTGTAGGGATTATTAATCTTCATTTTTCCGGTATTCATCATCCAAGCTCTTCCTGTGTCTCTAAGGAATTCTCTGTAAGTTTAGGTGGGAGAAAAAGCTCAATGTATCATGCATCCATTTTCTTGCAATGACAGTCTTGGGTTGTGCTTAAGACTACTCTAGACTTTTACTTGGGGACTAGTGTTGCAAAACAACAAGGCATACAAGCGAGCTATTATACTATGCACATTAGTCTGGCAACAGCAAGTTCACAATATGATTTTAGGCTACAGCAAAGATTTCATTCAAAAGTGCTTAATGCTGTAAGTCATGACTCCATTTTTGTCCTTGTAGATCTGTCTTTTCCTGGGAATTAAACTTGTTTTCATGCTACAAAGCTTGTTTTACCCAGTGACAACATTAAAAGATCTCATGTGCTTCTTAAACTGTCCACAGAATCTTCTTGGAGCTTCTATAGAACAAAGATGCTTCATTCATAGGAGCCCTTAGCATTTTGTTCTTGTTTCATTCTCTTACATATGGCAAATGTCCATTTCTGAACCAGTCCCTTTGCTTAGGTCCAAGGATCCCTACGGAGTTTAACCTAGGAATAAAGGTCTGTCTACACAAACCACTTGACTGCTTTAAAAGGGGAATAGATGAGTTCTAAAGAAAATCAGACTCCTTTCTGTTGGAAATAAAGGGGAACAGAGGCTAAGGAGGGAGCCAACAAATACCTACTGTTATCTA